AGGCACATGCTGGCACCTTATCACCCTAAGCACAATATAAACTTTAACAACTCAGAACCAAATGTGTATTATGCAATCCAAATACTCACGAGGAGTCTTTGAGGATATAAAAACAGGGACTAGAAAGACTTTCAATACACTTGACCTTCACTATAAACTGTTAGATGTCTACTTGCAGATACAGCAGCACTTGAAACAACACACACACATAAAGAAAATAATGCTGCAGAAGAATTACAAATAAATATGTCGAGGAATCTCAGGAAGCTCCAGAAATCTGCCTCAATCATCTGTGGGTTTGTAGACTCGATGGTCACGGTGCATTCTTGCTGTATTTGCATTAATATGGACAAAACACACCAGTTTGTAAAGAAGATTTGAAAGTCTTTTCTGACACAAGGACGCAGCTGTGGCTCTAACTCACTCGTGTGGCTCAGCGTAGGAACCAAAGCACCTACAGCAAGCATACATCACAACTATATCCATATGACGTAAATGCAGGCATTAACAACATCTTCAGCGGCTGCCTGTCTGCATGCCCGTATCCCCGTCCACCCCTCCAGCCAATCAGATTGAAGCAGCTCAGCATGGCAAAGCGATGACAGAAGCATGTTGCAGATGCACATGCAGGACATTCATAGAGGGAGGAATCCATTTGAAAGACGGCTCTGTTTCGCCCACTTCCTGTGGCTCATTCTTCTTTGTGTCATTTGCTTCTAAACTGTGAGCTAATGGAGATTATTACTTGAAGACAGAAGGTTTTATTCCTTACAAAATACTCTTTGCAAATGATACGATTTCTACTTGTTTCTGTGGTCTTGCACTAATGTACATTTCCCTAAGGTATTGAAGTGACTGTTATTTTGTATATATTGATTGTTGTGCTTTTATTTACGTCTTAATGTGTGCATATGTATAAATGTGTCTGTTGATTGTGTATATATATAGGATATACATATTTTAATATATATTTGTACTCAGGATTGTGGGAAACGGTATTTCGATCTCTCCTCACCTTTCTGGTCATTTCACTTCTATAATCTTATCTCTATCTCTCTCTGTCTTTCATTCAGCTTCTTTCCTCCACCCTCTCCATGTTTCTATCCATCCTCTTCCCCCCCGTCTCACCCTGGCTCTCTTCTCGGCCTCCAGCCTCTGCATGATCATCATGGTGTCCACGTCCTCGTCGTCCTCCTCCTCCTCGTCTTCGTCGCTGTGCTTGGACTCCTGCAGTCGTTTCTGGAACTGCCACTCCAGCATCAGCTTCCTGAGGCGGTCGCTCTCCTCCGCCGTTCGCTCCGGTTTCGACTAGAACAAATAAATAATATTCTTAGATCTGGAGGGGGTTGCGTCGGCTTGGCACCTGACGACCTCCGTACATTACCACTCACACATGAGTGAATATATCCCAACAACTCCTTGCTAATATTGATTAACACAACTTTAGCTTTTGCAGTTGAAGGAATTGATTTTAAATCCTGATTAAAACACTGATGATTTAAGCAGACTTGTTCCACATAGAAATCAAACATTGCTAGTTGAAATGAACACTACCAGATCAGAGATAGGTGTATTTCAGTGTCAGATGAGATCAAACAATATTTACAGAGATCTGTACAAGTGACGTGAAAGTGCCTGACAGGAAGGTAAGAGGGGAATGAGTTGCTTCACATTGAAATGTTGAGATTTAGTCCTACTGGACAAAGGACTACGGAGTCTCCAGTCAGTTTCATTTGCCACCATCCGTTATTTTAGCTACGGACGAATGGTTCGCTCCGGCTGCAAACCTGCCGATGGTACGACTCAGATCCAGCCGTTTCTGCACAACACACAAAAGTGTCTCTCTTCCTGTACTTCATATACGTCATCATCGTCAAATCAATCTATTTTGCCCAGAGAGAATTATTATTTGTTACTCACAAATCTATTAAGTCCTTCTTTAAAACCAAATCCAAAAGGAAGTTCATTCAATACAAAAGACTAACCTGTGACATCTGAAAATCAATTTGTTGATTTTCAGGTTGATGCATCATAAAGTATGATAACAGGCGTTTGCAGCTTCACTAGAGATCTTCAATACATGCTTTGAATGGAAAGTGAATTCTGAATGGATCGTAAAGGCTTCCCACCTGCAGATCCTGGATCTCTTTGTCCAGCAGGTCTACGATGTGGAGCTGCTGCTGCTTCTCAGCCTTCTCGCGGGCGTCTCTCTTCCAGGGGTCTGGAGAGAGGCTGTCGCTGGTGGAGAGCTCCTCCTTGCTGATGGTGATGTACTGCAGGTCTCTCCTCTCGATGGTGCGCGGCTGCTGCTGCGGTAACAGCTCCCGGATCACCGTGTCCATGCCTGCAGCAAGTTAGAAACAACATTATTATATATGTATACGAATAAAAGCAGTCTAGAAGTCAGCTTCTCCGTTAGAAAAAAATGGAGGATTTCAATGTCCCAAACACGAAATCAAGCGCAGTTTTATTTCTGTCTTGTATTGAAATTGCGCGGGGACTACAAGTCAGACTCTTAGATGAAGCATTACAGATAAGAATCAGGATTAGAAAATAGATAATCACACAAACATTTGGGATCAATAAAGAACTTCTTATCTTATCATGTTGTAAGAAAGAGAAATGGTGTTACCTGCAGGGTGGGAGGCGGGGGGGGGGACGGCGGACCGCGGCAGGCTGGCCAGCGGTCTAGGCGGGGGGGGCTGAGGCTGGGGGGGGAGGTAGGGCATGGGGGGGGTCACTGAGGGGAGGGGGGGCTGCTGGTGGTGAGGTGGGGGCTGCTGGTGGTGAGGGGGGGGCTGCTGGTGGTGGGGGGGGGGCATGGAGCCTCCGTTGTTGTGAGGCTGGACGGGCATCACAGGGTTGGCCCGGATCTGACCCAGCTTCCTCTCCTGCTCCCTCCTCTTCCTCTCCCTGGAAACCAGCAGCGATATTGTTACAAATTCTTATACGTTTGTGTTTTTATCATGTTCCGTTGCTTTTATCTCTTAGAATGTTTAACAAAGTGTACGGTGTCCTTAGGTGTCATGAAAGGCGCCTTAAATAAAATGTATTATTGTTATAGTCAAGGTGGGGTAGGTAAGTTTGAGAAACCGGCTCGAGATACACTTGTTATATTCCATGGAATGCTCTTAACATCCCGATAGCAATGAATATTTTAAGTGCTTTGACAATAAATCCATTAAACAATTAATCTGTGGAAGCCGTGGCGCTGTAAAAAGCACGACCAATCATCTGAGCCGGCTAAAGTAACTGGATGGCCTACCTGCCTGTCAGCCTTCCATCTGTGCACAAACTCACCTCGTGCCCTCATTGGCCATGTGCGCGTTCGTGTGTGTTGGAGGAGGGGCTCTGTGAGGAAGTGGCAGATTTCTTCCGGCTGTGTATTTTCAAATTCTCGCGCACTCGAGCTGGTTTCTCCAAACTTACCTACCCCACCTTTAATGTTTGATATTATTTATATTTTAGGTTTGAATGTGTGTCTGTGTGCTTTTGTAAGTGTCTACGGTTAAATGTATGGGACACTAATCATTCGGATAAATCTAATAGAATATGATATAACAAAAAAATAAGAATAAGAAAAATAAAAGGCTCTAAAATGTTACGTAAACAAAAAAAAACAATGCAAGTCTAAACAAAATAAAATCGATCTGGAACAAAAAGAAACTACAAAAATTATGACAAAATGATAAAAAAAAAGGAAACGATACAAAACAAACCGAACCAAACAACAACAAAGGACCCCACCTCTCCTCCTCCAGCCGAGCCTTCTCCTTCTCGTACCAGCGCTGCTGCTCCTCTCGTTTCTTCCGGTCCGCGGCCTGCTGGGCGTTAGCGGGGGAGACGGCGGTGGGCGGGGGGGGCAGCGGGAGCTCCGGCTGGGGCTCGTAGGCGTCGTAGGGGTCGGGGTAAGGGGCCGGAGGAGGAGGGGGAGGAGGGGGGAGGTCGGAGCGGGAGGGGGTCCCTGCTGGGTGCTGGGGGGGCAGCGTGGGGGGCGTTGGGGGTCTTCCATCGACCCGGACCTGTCTTCTGATTCAGGGTCTTGTTGGAGGAGGAGGAGGAGGCGGAGAAGTTGAGGTGTTCCTGACTGGAGGTGGACGACTCCAACGAGGAGGAGACCTGAGGCTGAGGGGGCCCAGTGCTCAGGACCCCCTGGAGAGGGAACAGTTTTTTTTCTTAAGTATCAAAACAGCAGGGAGTTGTAATATTAGAGATGAAAATTGACCCCACAAATGGCTGAAACTAAGATTTAAATCCATATACTCAAGAAAAAGACGAAGAGAGACAGAGGAAACTCTGACATTGGTATTTTACCCTTCTTTGCAGAGAGAAGGCTTTTATGAGATCAGGACAAATATACAATTTCCTGATGTTTTTATACAAAGCAACGTGTCAAGGTAAATAAGCTTTCAACTCCCAAACCATTGGAAGTGCTACAGTATTGGCTTTAAATAAGTTAGTGCTACTAACAGAAGTGAAGAGTTTTATTGTATTGCTACTGTTGGAGAAGAAACAGAGCTCTCAATCGAAAGTAATGAAAGTGACTTAAAACAATATTTCTAGAAGATAAGCCAATCGGACCAATCTACAGGATTTCTCAGTTTCCAGATTAAGGGGCAAATGTCTCCTGGCTTTGTCATTCTGGATAAAATATTGCGATTCATCTCAATAGAAGTCCCTCCCTTTCCGGGGGACCTCCATGGGACCTGTATTGAAGTCAATGGAGAGAGAAAGATTATCTTTCGATCCCGTTTGAATTGTGCCACGAATTACACACATGATGTTTGTCAATTTAAAAGATCATTTTGCAAGTTAAAAAAAAAAAAGTAACACTTGTTTTTGTGTGAACCGCTCAATGAACTACATCTCCCGTCTCGCACCACACACCAAGACGGCCGTCACGTTGGAACATTTCACTTCTTTCTTTCAGAACGAGGCGGAAAGTATTCAAAGAGGAGAAAATCACTCCAAGTCTGGGCACGTTGAGAACTGTGCACACACACAAGGGGAGTTAGTCGGTTCCTAAGAGCCAGCATGCGGGACCGGGACTCTGGGATTTGTAGTCTTTCTAGTTGCGTATTTTTCATAGTCTTATATTTCAACAGTTTTATGACAAACTGTGACTTTTTTGACATGGAAATTATATTGTAAGATTGACAAACATCATATGTGTAATTCATGGCACAATTCAAACGGGATCGAGAGATAATCTTTCTCTCCATTGACTTCAATGCATACTTTTTCTGAAATAAGGTCCCATGGGTTGGAGGTAGATGGGCGGGACTTCGCCTCTACTACATAATCATAAGCCACAATATCAAATGTGATTACATTTGGATGATTAAACCCACTAAGCTGTTACATAATCTGGCGTTTGGAACACCATCAGCTGTTTTTCCAGCCCCTCTTTCCTGAGGCTTCCTGCCTTCCTACCTCCTGGGGGACCTCTCTGGTAGTCCAGCTGGTAGTCCAGGTCTCTGGGCTGGTAGTCCTGCTGGTAGAGAGGCTGCATGTCAGGCCTCATGCCTCCTGGTGGGGGGTACAAATCCTCCTGGGAGTGGTTGATCCGCTGGGAAGAGAAGAGGACATCGAGTAAGAGGCAAGAGAAGCTGGAACGTCAATGAAGTAAAGAACAGGGAAAGATTGAGAAGTAAAAAAGATGAAGTAAAATGGTAGTCACATAAATGAGAAGGGAGCATTAAAAGAGAAAGGAAGAAGACGGTGCAAAGACATCCGTTGTTCAGTATCCAAGACTATCTTTAAATGTACTTACATTTTAAATTAAAAAACAAAACTGACTTTTCAAGTAAATTAAGAAAACCAGTTGAAATTTAAAGTTGTATATGTTTATGTATACAAAGGCATTATAAGGGCCGTTGTAGGTTAAATAAAATAATTAAAATAAATAAAAATACATTTAAATAAGGTATTAGTATCCTAGATTTAAGGTATAAGAATCTGAATGTGGTCCCTTCAACAAATAAAACATTTTCTGTACATTTTAGGTTAATTTTTAAATTAGAATTACCACTCAAGCATTTCCTATATTATTTGTAGGTATTCTCTGTCAGTAAAGCTGGTGTCTGGCGCTGCTCTTACCTGCATGCTGTTGTTGTTGTTGTGGATGTTTTCCACCACAGGGAGGCGCTCTCTGTCCTCCACGCCCTGCCAGTGCTGAGGGGGTCCCGGCCCCGGACCCACCACCCGGTCCTGGCTCTTGGAGGCCGGGATGGTGAAGTACTCTCTGGGGTAGGTCTGGGTGGGGATGGGGGTACTCCTCTGGGTGGGGGGGGGAGGGCTCGTCCTGATGGAGCAAACGTAATAATAATAATTAGTGTGAGAGATAGAAATATTTGGGACACCTTTCCAATACTTAACAGGCAGAGTGGTGAAGCAATGACTCCTAAATACTGGACATTAGTTAGCGCTTCCTGTTCACTCCTCCGAAAGTCTACTTTTTATGAATGTGTTTTTGGTTGTAATAATGAAATAAGGGGTATGGTAAACACAAGCTAACAATATATATGATTTACCTTCAAATCTACGACATAAAATACAGTAAATATCCCTAATTCAAACAGAGGTTTCTAAAAAAGTGTCTAAATGAGACGGCCAACATTAGCCTCCTTTAGCTTAGCGGTGGTGACGTGAAGTCATGTGACCGTGCTGTAGTTCCTCTATAGCCCAACATTAGCCTCCTTAGCTTAGCGGTGGTGACGTGAAGTCATGTGACCGTGCTGTAGTTCCTTTATAGCCCAAACATTAACCCCCTTTAGCTTAGCGGTGGTGACGTGAAGTCATGTGACCGTGCTTGTAGTTCCTTTATAGCCCAACATTAGCCACCTTTAGCTTAGCGGTGGTGACGTGAAGTCATGTGACCGTGCTGTAGTTCCTTTATAGCCCAACATTAGCCACCTTTAGCTTAGCGGTGGTGACGTGAAGTCATGTGACCGTGCTGTAGTTCCTTCATAGCCCAACATTAGCCACCTTTAGCTTAGCGGTGCTGACGTGATGTCATGTGACCGTGCTGTAGTTCCTTTATAGCCCAACATTAGCCACCTTTAGCTTAGCGGTGGTGACGTGAAGTCATGTGACCGTGCTGTAGTTTCCTTTATAGCTCAACATTAGCCACCTTTAGCTTAAGCAGTGGTGACGTGAAGTCATGTGACCGTGCTTGTAGTTCCTTTACAGCCCAACATTAGCCTCCTTTAGCTTAGCGGTGGTGACGTGAAGTTCATGTGACCGTGCTGTAGTTCCTTTATAGCCCAACATTAGCCACCTTTAGCTTAGCGGTGGTGACGTGAAGTCATGTGACCGTGCTTGTAGTTCCTTTATAGCCCAACATTAGCCACCTTTAGCTTAGCGGTGGTGACGTGAAGTCATGTGACCTTGCTGTAGTTCCTTATAGCCCAACATTAGCCACTTTAGCTTAGCGGTGGTGACGTGAAGTCATGTGACCGTGCTGTAGTTCTTTTATAGCCCAACATTAGCCACCTTTAGCTTAGCGGTGGTGACGTGAAGTCATGTGACCGTGCTGTAGTTCCTTTACAGTCCAACATTAGCCTCCTTTAGCTTAGCGGTGGTGACGTGAAGTCATGTGACCGTGCTGTAGTTCCTTTATGGCCCAACATTAGCCACCTTTAGCTTAGCGGTGGTGACGTGAAGTCATGTGACCTTGCTGTAGTTCCTTTATAGCCCAACATTAGCCACCTTTAGCTTAGCGGTGGTGACGTGAAGTCATGTGACCGTGCTGTAGTTCCTTTACAGTATAGCCCAACATTAGCCACCTTTAGCTTAGCGGTGGTGACGTGAAGTCATGTGACCGTGCTGTAGTTCCTTTACAGCCCAACATTAGCCTCCTTTAGCTTAGCGGTGGTGGTGACCGTGCTGTAGTTCCTTTACAGCCTAACGTTAGAGTTTTATTTCTTGAGATGCATTCGCACTTCATAAAGTGGTGTTAATAAGTGGAGATTGTCTTGCTGTCATCCAAAACCTGTAAGTATCATAAATGTGTGTTGGCCACAGATCTTATTTTCTGCAATATTCAAAAACCTCATTGTCTTTTGTCGAGGGAGATACAAAAAGACATCATCACTGCACGTCTCTATCGTCAGGAAAGAGGATTCCTCTTCTCTGCTCTAGATTTCTGTGTGTCCTCGAATCACATTTTGTCTGGTGGCACATTCCACATAGAGACGCCATTGACTTCCATTATAAAGTGACTCACGTCTGCACACAGGTTCCCGGTGGAGACGGAGGTGATTTTGGTGCCGGGTCCTCCGGGGTAAACCGCTTTGCTCGCAGGACTCTGGCTCTGATCTGAGGAGGGGGGCGAATAAAGAAAGCCATATTAAAATCAGGGAAAAACATTCAAAACAAGTCTAAAGGTGTGCCTTGTTTTGACCGAGAGAGCAGCAGAAATACTTTAAATAACATTGCTTTCACGCACCAATGTAGACTTCATTAAAAAGTCACATGTAATTAATAATAGACAAATATTTAAATACAGTACTTGACTGTTTTTGAATTGGCTGCAACTATGACAAAAAATGCCTTACTATGATATCAAAATCTTACAAAGAAAAGTTATTTTAAATGCATTCACTAACAGTGCAATTACCCAAAGACTTATAGGTGCAAAGGAGTCGTTAACTATTCAAAAAATACCCAAAGTATTTACTGAAAGTGGTTTCTGAGGTTGTTTATTTAAGACTTTTGCAGGCAGTGTTATGCCACTGTTTCCAAATCAGGGTGGAGTACTCAAAGAACAACACCAGTATTTGTCTCCTCTTATTTCCACTGCTGCCCATGCCAAGTCTACACCCACCATAATTTGTACATCTGTATTTTACCACAGATACTTTCCATTTCATTTTATTTCATCAAGTCATTTTGATGATTTTCTGCTTAATTTACAGCTTCAATAATGCTATGAATATGTGATCAAATAACATCTTTTAACTCATGTCACATGCCATCCGTTTTATGAATTAAGAAGTCCAATGCATTAAATAGATGTGAGCAGCAGTTAGAAGACAATTTGAAACATGGATACTTTTCTTAAATACTAATTTTACATTTCAATATGTGAACAACAGACCCAATTAAAGGAACATGTATAAATTCACTGGTGTCAGTTGGCTCAACCAAAAAACATGTGTCTTGAATACAGACACAAACACTGTATACACTGGACTAGTTTTAGTTACTTAAAGGTGCCCGATTATACTGTTTTTCATCAGTATATCACAGGTCTCAGATATATACAGAACCTGTCTCTGATTGGCTGATGAAACACCAAACAGACCATTGCAGCATTACCCATAATCCCCTCTGTTTCAGCCCCTGTTTTCCAAAGTGCTGATTCTCTGTCTGTTACTTTAGATGAAAATAAGGAGCCCCTCCCCACGCCCCTCTGAGAGAGCATTTGGTTACAAAGAACTCAATGGTGCTCTAGGAGGTAGATTCAGGTGATAAGGTGGGGGGGGGGTTACCTTGGTTGCTGATTGGCTAATGGTTACACAAGACAAAACATCGTTATGACATCATAAAGTGGCCAAAATCTGATCAGCTCATTTTCAGACAGGTGTTTATAGAAATGGATCAAAAAGAGAGAGAATCTTTTGTTCCTGAAACTTTCAGAGTCTCTTTCCACAGAGGGGACACATGTTGATGTAGAAGAGAAGAAGACATGAATAAGAGGGGACACATGTTGATGTAGAAGAGACATGAAGAAGAGGGGAACATGTTGATGTAGAAGAGACATGACAGAAGAGGGGACACAATGTTGATGTAGAAGAGACATGAAGAAGAGGGGACACATGTTGATGTAGAATGTAGACATGGAGAAGAGGGGACACATGCTTGATGTAGAAGAGACATTGAAGAAAGAGGGACCACATGTTGATGTAGAAGAGACATGAAAGAAGAGGGGACACATGTTGATGTAGAAGAGACATGAAGAAGAGGAGACACATGTTGATGTAGAAGAGACATGAGGAAAGAGGGGACACATGTTGATGTAGAAGAGACATGAAGAAGAGGGGACCACATGTTGATGTAGAAGAGACATGAAGAAGAGGGACACATGTTGATGTAGAAGAGATATGAAGAAGAGGGGACACATGTTGGTGAAGAAGAGACATGAAGAAGAGGGGACACATGTTGATGTAGAAGAGACATGAAGAAGAGGGGACACATGGTGATGTAGAAGAGACATGAAGAAGAGGGGACACATGTTGATGTAGAAGAGACAGAAGAAGAGGGGACACATTGATGTAGAAGAGACATGAAGAAGAGGGGACACATGTTGATGTAGAAGAGACATGGAGAAGAGGGGACACATGTTGATGTAGAAGAGACATGAAGAAGAGGGGACACATGTTGATGTGGAAGAGACATGAAGAAGAGGGGACACATGGTGATGTAGAAGAGACATAAAGAAGAGGGGACACATGTTGATGTAGAAGAGACATGAAGAAGAGGGGACACATGTTGATGTAGAAGAGACATGAAGAAGAGAGGGGACAACATGTTGATGTAGAAGAGACATGAAGAAGAGGGGACACATGTTGATGTAGAAGAGACATGAAGAAGAGGGGACACATGTTGATGTATGAAAGACGTGACAAAGTGGATTTTGCATAATAGGTGACATTTAAGAAAGTCGAGGGTCTTACTGGCTACGTTAGGGCTGGACCGGTGGTCGGCTCGATTCTTGAGCAGCCGGTCTTCGTTGGTCTTCTTTGGTTCGGGGTACGAGTCCCAGCCGGCCTGCGGACTCTCCGGAGAGCCGTTCTGCACAGAGTTGTTGTAAAGCTCGAAGCCCTCGCTCTTTGGTCGCAGCTTTCCGTTCTTATCACGCCCTCGGTCTGCAGCTGGAGGGACGAAACGGAGAGAATGGATGATTGAATTTTGAATTGGTTGTTGCAGTAATAACAAGTATCACTTTCATTATTTTCTTAATGCAGGTTTTCTTTTACTTTGTGGTAATGATTTGACATTACATCAAATCATTGGGCAGTTTGGGTGATTAAAACGTAATAATGTTACGGTCCTTTTGTCTTAAACCTTTGCTCAGAACATTTCTTGAATTGTAAGGTGTAAATAGAATGAATTATTATTAATTCCTACTTTTTAAAATATTGTAATTGTATGCCAATTGTAGGTTTATATAAAACCGTAAAGAGTGTGTATCAGTATGTAGTGTCTCTACTTTAGAGAGTCCTCTCCTGCTGATGTTCAGGTGTATATCAGTATGTAGTGTCTCTACTTTAAAGAGTCCTCTCCTGCTGATGTTCAGGTGTATATCAGTATGTAGTGTCTCTACTTTAAAGAGTCCTCTCCTGCTGATGTTCAGGTGTATATCAGTATGTAGTGTCTCTACTTTAAAGAGTCCTCTCCTGCTGATGTTCAGGTTCATATCAGTATGTAGTGTCTCTACTTTAAAGAGTCCTCTCCTGCTGATGTTCAGGTGTATATCAGTATGTAATGTCTCTACTTTAAAGAGTCCTCTCCTGCTGATGTTCAGGTGATATCAGTATGTAGTGTCTCTACTTTAAAAGAGTCCTCTCCTGCTGATGTTCAGGTGTATATCAGTATGTAGTGTCTCTACTTTAAAGAGTCCTCTCCTGCTGATGTTCAGGTGTATATCAGTATGTAGTGTCTCTACTTTAAAGAGTCCTCTCCTGCTGATGTTCAGGTGTATATCAGTATGTAGTGTCTATACTTTAAAGAGTCCTCTCCTGCTGATGTTCAGGTGTATATCAGTATGTAGTGTCTCTACTTTAAAGAGTCCTCTCCTGCTGATGTTCAGGTGTTAATCAGTATGTAGTGTCTCTACTTTAAAGAGTCCTCTCCTGCTGATGTTCAGGTGTATATCAGTATGTAGTGTCTCTACTTTAAAGAGTCCTCTCCTGCTGATGTTCAGAGGTATATCAGTATGTAGTGTCTTTACTTTAAAGAAGCCCTCTCCTGCTGATTTATCAGTATGTAGTTGTCTCTACTTTTAAAGAGTCTATCCTGCTTGATTCATAAGGTTGTATATCAGTATGTAGTGTCTCTACTTTAAGAGTCCTCTTCCTGCTGATGTTGCAGGTTTTGTATATTCAGTATTGTGGTTATTTGGTTCTGTCTACTTTTAAAGAGTCCTCTCCTGCTGATGTTCAGGTGCTATATCAGTATGTAGTTGTCTCTACTTTAAAGAGTCCTCTCTGCTGATGTTCCAGGTGTATATACAGTACGTAGTAGTGTCCTCTACTTTAAAAGTGCTTCTCCCTGCTGATGTTCAGGTGTATATCAGTATGTAGTGGCTCATACTGCCTGTGCTGCAGCACCTCTTTTCTTTCTGGAGGGATTTTAGCCTTTGCAGACCATTTACATGCACTAAAACCTATATAACACTACAGGAAACAGAAATCCCAGAAAGCCTAACAGGGCCCCTTTTTAAAAACAGAGTTAAGTGTAACGACTTCCCTCCTGAGTCTCTATGTCTGCTCCCTGACTCTGTGAGAATCTACACTTTGACTTGTCCAGTTTCCAAACACTAAAGAGTGACCGGAGTCCTTCACAGCCCGGAGGTTACATTTCACCGTCTGACTGGAAAACAGGCTGTGGTCGAGGGAGAAACACCCGTTAGCGTAATCCTGCACCGCAGAAGACTTCCTTAATGAATCTGGGGTCACATTCCAGCGGACAAAGACCAGCACAGAGCCAGACAACCCCGTAAACTCTGTCCCAACATGTGTGTGTGTGTGTGTGTATGTGGACACGCTTACACACACATATCTGGCTGTAGCCACAAACACTCATTATGTCCGTCAGTCTGCAGGACTTTTTTTTTTTTTTATACGGGGCTGCAGAGAAGACAACAAGGACTCAGTGTCTGGACCAGTCTGCTTCTCCTCTTTCACACCAGAAGCTGTTATTAACTAATGGTGGAACTGACAATAGTCCATTCATTACATGTTACACTACATTACGCTTTTCTGGCTTTTAATTTAACACTTTTTCTAATCGTCATGATTGTTTAAGACGTGACAAACAGCTGGAATGCAAATTGTATTTTGCTCTTGATTAATGAACATCACGTTTTTTACAAGCACAAATGTCTGAAGTGATGGTCCACAAAACGTTTTATTCGATGTTTTCTCACTTGAGAGACTGGAAGAACAAAATAATAGACTTTTTTTAATTGAAAGATTACAAAAAAACGATTGTTTGATTAATAAAATCGTTGGAAATACATTTTTTATCAATAGAATATTAATCTGCAAAGTTTTTTAACTACATCATTAAGCGCCAAAAGTAAAAGGTTCCTCAATATCATGAGAAACAAGAACGTTATTCTATAAAATAAACTGTACAATTGCAAAATAAACAATAAATAAACAAGTCAGATGCAAAGGAATAAGAATGACTTTTAAACAGTTTGAATGTGTGTGTTCTCACCTCGGGGCAGCAAGGGGCTCGGCTGGTTCAGGAGCGTTGCCAGACCGTGGTAGATCGCTCCCTGCTTCGCCACCTCCAGAGTCACCACTGCACCCGTCCTCGTCATTAACTCCGCAGCCCTACACACACACACAGGCACACACAGGCACACACACACACACACACACAGGCAACACACACACACACACAGGCACACACACACACACAACACCCACACACACACACAGAGAGAGAGAAAGAGCAAGAGAGAGAGGGAAAGCGCAAGAGAGAGAAAATAGCAAAACTATTAGCATCACAATGTTCAAATTCATAGAAGCTTTATTGGCAAGACCATATCAAACACACAGTATGACAAAGCAAGAAATTAAGTTTGACACAACTGATGGATATCATAAATCTAAACTATGAAAATGCAAATACTATCAATGTAATAAAATATGGGTGTGTGTAGGGATGGGTATCGTTAAGGTTTTAACGGTACTACTACTTTTATCGATACCGCTTATCGGTCCGGTCTTTCAACGGTACTCTTATCGGTTCTTTAGGAGAAAGAAATAAGGTAAACTAACTAAAGAAATTGTGAACAAAACTAACATTGCTTTTTATTTAAATTAAATACATAATATTTCACATCAAAAGAAACAACAATGTTTTAACAAATCGTATTAAATAATGTGATGACAGAATTGTGAACAGAATAGCTGAAACTTTAACAAACTAAATAACTCAGTTTCCTCTAATCATTAACCCATGTTTGTATCATTGAGTTAACTCCGTGTGTTGCTGCTAGCATACATAACACCTGACGTGGAAACGTTACTCGTGGATGGAGCTACAGAGCTGCTAGAAAGACAGTCGAACCCGGTGCATTTCTCCGTCTGGATGTGGAGCACTTTTGCTAAATGTTTAGACTAATTGCTCGTGTTACCGCCCTTACATACTAAACTCTTATTGCACTTTTGGTAACGAGCATCGAGACGGGTAAAGTTTAACCACCTTGGAGCGCGTCTCTCGCGTGTGTGTGTGTTGCTGCATGTAGCAGCTGTGTGTGTGTAAACTGCCCCGCCCCCTCGCACACAGGCGGGGGAGAGAGATCTCGTCTGGATTGGAAAGATCGAAAATACTAAAAATAATCATGGACGCATTTTGCAGTCTTTTTGCGTATTAGAAACGGAGTTGGTGAAACTAAAACTGCAATATAATGTTGGTGTAGCAATAATACATATGACAGATATTTTTTACATGTCTCCAGTACCGATAAAAAGACCGATAACGTCGGAGCTTAACGGTACCACGGTCTTTAATAATTGAGCCCCGGGGCCCGTTTAATACCGGGGCTCGGTACCCATCCCGAGGGGTGTGTGTGTGTGTGTGTGTGTGTTTAGTTGAACTGGTGGAGTTGTATGTGTTCTGTCAGAAAGTGCACCTCGATTCTTTAAGTACCGATAGTAAAAGTGCTCATGCAATATGGCCCATTTTATAATAACGTATGTGTTATTATTGGATTATAATTATTGATGCATTAATTGTTTATTCTTGCAGCTGGTTATGGAGGATAACCATTGTATCTTTTATGTAGCTAGTAAACCTGTGTAAAGTGTAGTATAGGCCTTCTTAACAGTACGATGAAATTATTATATCGATTCTTTCAGTAGACTATTATACATAAGTTTGGAAGATAATGAACGTATTAGCCTGTTTAAAGACACACTCATGGAGCTTTTATGATCAAGAAAAGGCAAGGAATATATGAACTCATGAGTCATTTGGGAACAACAGTTTATCAGACATATATTACTGTAACACACAGAAAGTCTCCGTGTTATTTTCTGTTATTGCCACATGTGCGTAGAGCTTACAGCAAATCCTCTGAACAGCTGAGAGGCAGATCACATGAGGAAATGAGCCATGTGGGTTTGATTTGATGCAACATTAACAGCCTGATGCTGAGCAGAGAACACACTCTGATCCCATGTATGGAAGTATCTCAGGACTTAACATCAACCAGACATTAAGGCTGCAAATAATGCTAAATCCTGACATGCAAGGAGCCACCTGCAGAAGGGAGAACAAGTACAGACATTTACAGGAACATCGGAAGTCCTGCAACCTGCATGCAAAAGTAACAGGCAAATTGTTTGTAAATCCAGTTTGACTTCTCGCTCAGTAAGCAGCAACACGGTCTGTACGCAGAGGAAGAGAGAGGAATAACTGGATGTGAGAGGGAGTTCTCGGCTGTTTCCAAAACACACCCTTTTTCTGCTTGTGTTTTAAACATGTTTCGAAAGTTTTGTCTTTTTTTTCCACGAGGACAAAAACCGCAAGATTTCTCAACTCTGTGGTCTCTGTCCAAGATGTGGTTATCTGACGTTAACATGATATTAAAGTTTTCCAAATGTTTTCAATTCCTAAAATAGAATTCAAACAGAGTTTCGTCATCAGCGAGATCTCAAATACTCAGTACTCTGCGGGTAGGTGGTTGAGGATATAAACACAAATACTACATGTCCCCACTTCTCCTTTTACGTGTTTTTGGAGGATTGTCAATATACGTATATATCTTTAACGTTGATGTGTTTATATTCAGGGGTGCACATAACTGGAACGCATGTGCGGGCAAACATCTGAAATGCGGACCGGCACTTGTCTCACTAAGCGCATTTCCAGAAGGCGCTTCGGTCACTGGACGACAGAGCCGGTCGCCGTGCGCACAGACGGGGCTGCTGTTAACGTCGGTGTGTACAACGGAATTGTGCCACAACTAGCACCCACCCCCACCCCTCCCGTCGACGTTCAATACCACACCCCCACCGACTTACTCACTAAAACCAGTTAATTTATTTAATGACGAATGGAAATTACAGAAAAGATAGTCAATTCAGAAAAATACATTATTGCCATGTAGCCTTTAAAACCAGGAACAAACTACACTTACAGTCTCAAGATATCCAAAATGTAAAGTGATATCTAGTGTCATAATATCGTTATATCAGTTTGTTGCCAACCATCATTTATCTACAGGTCATCTGGGAAATTACCATATCTAATTGTGCGAATGGAAATGAGCGTAAGAACACAATTTCTGAGCACTGAACGCTTTAAATGCGTCTTCCGCAAACAAAACATTGAAATATTAGCAGTAATTTGACCCGTGTCTTTACCTCTCCTGTGATAGGCCGACGAGGCTGCGTCCATCTACGCTCAGCAGCTGGTCACCTGCAGCCAGACGACCGTCCTGCACACACACACACACACACACACACACACACACACACACACACCACACACACACACACCCTCATCATGAGTCACTGTGTGTTTTCCTCATGCTTTTCTGTATAATTGCAGTTTGTGTGTTCTCACCACGTCCGCTGCTCCTCCTTTCACCACAGACTTGACGTAGATGCCCAGCTTCTCCTGACCCGCACCCTGCAGACAGAGACAACGAGACACACACAGGTTAACTAGCTAAATATTAAACAGTAATTTATTCCACAAAATGGCAAGTGAACAGGTCTGAGGCCAGTGTGAATATTAGGATGCTTTCCTGCTGAATTTTAAATGTGTGGCGTCATAAGAGTAGGGCTGAACGATTAATCGATTTAAAACTTTTTTTTTATTGTGTGTCAGTCATCCACACCAATCAGAAGTGCTGTGCTCCACATGTACCAGCCATTGTTAATCAATCAGAAGTAGCCCATGATAGAAGGTGATAGACAGATTGATCCAATCACCTGCCAAGTGCTTTTGAAAGTGCCTGCCCTTTCCAAATGGCTTCCTATGGAGCTTTAGATGGTTTCTGAGTCAGGTTAGTAATGCTCCATCACATGTTTCTATTACAGGGTGAATCTGAAACTGAAGCTTGACTTTAAAGCAACGGAAGTTTCATGTAAGTTTAGTTCTTTCACTCGTAGCTCGGGTTGCAAGAGACGGGAGCACGTTGATACGACCTTCCTAGCCGGAGTTATGGCCGCATTTTACAATAAACTTCCGTTGGGTCGCTTAAAAACAAATATCGCAAATCGAATCTCAATATTTGTCAGAAAAATCGCAATTAGATTTTTTCCCAAAATCGTGCAGCCCTACATAAGAGTAGCACAATCGAATGGACATTTGACCCAAACCGCAAAGTGCAATATCCAGTATCACAGTAAGCACAATTACGACCAAAAAATGCCAAAACCAAAAGAAATGGAGAACAGAAATTAGCATTAGTAGAGTATCAATGTGGAAGACAATCATTTCTGCATATACACAGTTTTGAAAGCTCCCATAGAAAATGGAAATGTAGACGTTTTCGCCACCTCTCGTCTATTTTGACAACATGAATCCATTCTAATGTGCTGACACAGAACAGGAAGGGATTATAAAGCTGTCGTTTCCTGAGCCTCTTTTATCCGAGGTAACAAGGTCACCAACACGTCAAACTGAAACATTTCAAGACGTTTAAAGAGTCAACACATTTATCTTTCATTTCCCCGCTGTATTAGAGTGATATTTACTGCTGGAACAAGAGCAAGTGCCCCCCGCAGGAATCTGTTTCTAATTTGATGTCATAATATTTTCTTTAAACCAAATCCTTTCTTCACCAAGTAACAACGAAGAACAGAAATACAGATAAAAAGGGGTGTGTGTGTGTGTGTGTGTGTGTGTGTGTGTGTGTGTGTGTGTGTGTGTGTGTGTGTGTGTGTGTGTGTGTGTGTGTGTGTGTGTGTGTGTGTGTGTGTGTGTGTGTGTGTGTGTGTGGTTAACACTGCTGGCATGTTATCAGTCGTTTCACACGCTCCCATCTTGACATGTTTATCCTCAGAGTTTGTCCTGCAGTGAAACCCAGACAAATATGTTCCTGTTAAAGACATTGTTGGACTGAATGTGTTTTTGACTTGCAACACTTTTCAGGCTCAAACACATTCTTTAGTTTTTCTCGAGAGACGAATTATCAATAAATGTGCTTTTTCTGCTTTTGGACAGTTTGGACGAAACTTTCTTTCATTACTTTCAGACATGCTTCTAATTTTAAAGCGGGTCTTGATTCAATATAGGACCTAAAGATGACATATTTCTATATTTCCATATTTGTATTTTGTGCCTGTGTTCAAAAAGGGGGAAGTGTGTGGGGGCAACACAGGGATTTTAGCATTTGCAGGCCGGGGCCGTTTCTCAATCTCGAGGAAACTGGCTTCCAAGCCAATATTTAAAGGATGCTACATCATTGAGTGCCGTCGAAAGACTGTTCCAATGTCCAGCATACTTGGAATTCCACCGAGGCCGCGTCCTTGGTTTGGGGGAAATTTCGAGGCTGCAGATGGGTAGACTTCGCGTCCTTAAAATCCCCACAATGCTTTGCGCACGGACCAATTTCAAAAACCCTTGCGGAGAATGGCTGAACCGAGGCAGCACACATTTAAATGATATATGTAGTGGCGTAGAACATGTGTTGGTAAATATGTTACATTGTTACATTTCTTATCACCAAAATGTGTTCCGTGAAAGTAAAGCAAGTTCATAATTAGATAGACATCGTGAGGTATTTATTTTCAGTACAGTTTATGTTGAAACCGTTAGAGAGAGTGGCACACTTGTTAGCCTGTTCCATTCTTCTTCGTTTTCCGAAGCCGTGGCTTGGAAGCATACTTGCTTTGTTTCTGAAGGAAGTGACTTGGAAGTACGCGACATCCTCGCGATTGAGAAACACCCCATGTACATGCAAAAAAACCTGTATAACACACCGACTAAAGGGTGAAAGGAAAACCCCAACAAGTATAAAGGGGCCTCTTTAACCAGAACACACCACAGGATCTGATGCACACACTACCTAGACAATAAGAATCACAGCATGTCTATAAAACCGTTCGTAAACCAGCAGAGTGGATTAAAAAGACTCCTAATTGGTGCCATTTGTGAGACTTGGCAACATGGCAGTGTGTGTGTGTGTGGTAAAATGAAGCAGGGGTTACTCTCAGGTTAATTGCTCTACTGTTTGCAGCTTATATGTGTTAACTGTTAATCAGCTGTAGTACAGAAGATAAAGACGCCTGTTCAAACTGCAGCGTTTCTGCAGAAATTCAATTCTAGAGTTCCTTAGAACTTTTTAACATCACATAGATAAGGATTTCACATGTTTTTTATAATCTAATACTGGTAAATGAATAGGCACTTTTACACCGGAGTACTTTTTCCAGTATAGTTCCGATATAGTTCCAAAAATGTGCGTTCACACCAAAATAATCCGGAACTAGAACTTAGTTCATGAGAACCTTTCCACCCCCTTTTCCGTCCCTGATAGAGAGCCATTTCTGATTGGCAGGGCGGATTGCAAACCACGCCCCGTAAAACTCCCAAAAAGTTTTGTGAAGCCGCCATTTTATTTGCTGGCATTAGCATTATTAGCATTAGCATAGCGCACAAACGCAGAGAGACTAACTTATGGCAACACAAAAGAAAACATGGGAGCGGTGGAGATGAGGAGGTGTCGGTGTTCTGGCGATTTACTCTGAAGGCTTCAGTCGAAGCTGCTGGGAGTCCCAGCAGCTTCGACTGAAGCCTTCCCCAACTCCGGGGACTTCCGGCCGGGGACTTTGGGTGGCAGTATACACTGTCACTACCCGATCTGCAGCTCTGCCCGATCTGCAGTGCGCTATATGCCATACATTTTTGCACACATTCACAGTAAATATGTGTTCAGTATGATAGCTGTTTAACAGAAGTTAAATTATTTTCTCACTTATTCTGACAATGTACTTAACCCCAAATAAAAGAACCCAATAAAAAGAGTTGTTAAATAATACTGAAGTCACGTTGTAATAACAATAACTCATCCCTCTCGAGTTTTCTTTTGAGCTTTGCCAAAAGCCACTGTGTCAAGTGTCCTTATTGGGTTGCCGTACGGAGTTGTCCAATATGGCGGACCATCTCGCACATGCGCACTGCAGATCGGGCAGAGCTGCAGATCGGGTAGTGACATACACCGTGAAGTTGTTTGCAGCCTGCCAGTAAACCCAAAGCAGAAGAAGGAGAAGTGACGTTAGCGGCTTCATTTGACTAATCCTCCCTCAGGAACTTATTCCGGTGTGAACGCGATCTGTACTTAGTTCATGAGAACTAATGAGTTCTGAAGAACTAAGTACTTGGTGTGAAAGCACCTAATGAATAAACAAGAAGGGACATTAAGGCCTGTAATACATGATTTATTTAAAACAATTTTATAATATTTTTGGCAGGACTTTCCAGTAATTTTCAATGGTATTAAACGTAACTCAAGGACTTGTGAATACCTACATATTATATCAAAATAGTAAACCAATTCCCCAAAAAATTGAAAAATGTGATTTATTTTAAGCTCGTTTGTTTTGCTTTCCTGCGGCAGGAAACAACCTCTAAATATAAGAGGACATACATCTGGGTTCAGAAAGGTTCAAACGGATCGGTTTGTTTCAAAAATAACAATGAGCTTTGAGTTGCCTTCATCTCCAATTCCTGATTCTTCACATATTTGAACCAAACGGATTGATTGTGGGGCAAAAACATGATATTTCTTGAATTACTTGCATTTTTTTGGCTATTTATTAACTGAATGTGAATTGAGGGAATAGAGAAACATTCTGCATGTGTCACATCCAAGAAGACAGCATCAAGCCTTCAAATTATTTCCCCCACAGTGTTTCGTTCTGTCAGTAAATGTGCATTTCTTTGTGATAATGAGTCTGGATTCATGCAGTCACGGACTTCCTGTGAGTGACATTAACATGAGAGACTCCGTCTGTCTCCAGTCTGTTGTACATTACAGAAGACATTAAAGAGCCTCTTGTTTTCAGCTTCGTGCACTTTGAGGGATTGTGGCGCCAAATCAGGCTCCAGAGACACTTGTAGGAATTTCCTGAATCCCCTGAGGGTGTTCAGAGCGGCTTTTAGCGAGTTAAAGGGGTCCGAAAGGGGGGTCAGAGGGGCCACAACTTCTAGCACAAGTACTGTGCATCAGCAGAAATGAAAACTGTTCTTCAAATGAGTACGTCTGATGCATTGCTTTCATTTTACATGACTTAATAAAGCTTAATTCTGTATTACTCACAATGACTTGAAGAGTCACCTCGTTTCCTTTGATGGCAATTATGTAAAGGTCCCATGTCATGGCCATTTCTACTGATCATAATTCCATTGTTGAGGTCTACTACAATATATTTACATCGTGCAATGTTCCAAACTCACATTGGTTTCTCACAGCATCTCTGTATAGTATGTGTATTCACTCTCTGTCCTAAACGGCTTGTTGGAGCTCCTGCCCCCCCCCCCCCCTCCCTGTAAGCCCAGTGGCAGACAGCGAGACAGCGAAACCCAGCCCGACACCCGCAGCCTGGCTGGGAGTTTGTGTGTGTGCTCACACACCGACTCACTGCGTCCCGCCGTCTCAGGGAGGAGAAATCGGCGGAGCT